ATGAGAGAGATGAGCTGAACGACAAGTATCAATCAGATATTTCAGCTCTTACTGAGATAAACAATGTACATATGCTACAGAGGAGGGCTCAGGATTTGAAGTGTGATGATCTCGTATTGGAAAATAAAATGCTTAATGATGATTTAGTGTTGTTAAAGGCAGCACTCGATGACACCATGTTCAGAATCAAAGAGCAGCAAAAGGTGATAGATGAGCTATTATGCAGTCAAGAGAAAAAATTACCCACCATTAGGAATGTTATAGGTAATTTATTATTATTATTATTATTATTATTATTATTATAGCTTTACTCTCCATACGCAGGTACACCTCTTCATCAACAAAAAAAGATTTTTGACTCTTTGATGAAGCAAAAACTAGTAAAGGATGATATATGGTGAGTTGTAGTGTACTACAGTGTGTGGGTGTATCAAAGGCACTGCATGAAGGAGTGGCAGACGGACTAATACATATACATGTACTGGTATGCCTTTCATACACCCACACACTATTATACAAACCAGATAAACTACAGCTGTTTTGTGTTACTGGATACCTTATGGTGGGAAATTTTGGAGGGACTAAAATTTGGCAAATTGCTAAATTTTGGTGATTGGTGAATTTTAATTTGGCAAATTTTTGGCCACGTACCATTGAGCATGTGTATAATGGCTCAAAATGGTGGATTTTATTTTGGCAAATGGGCTGTCAAAATGTCTAATTCACCAAATTTAATTCCCTCCAAAATTTCCCACTGTATGGTATACCGTATAGCGGAAAATTTTGGAGGGACTAAAATTTGGCGAATTGCTAAATTTTGGTGATTGGCGGATTTTAATTTGGCGAATTGGTGGCCACGTGCATTGAGCATGTGTATAATGGCTCAAAATGGCGGATTTAATTTTGGCGAATGGCTATCAAAACGCCAAATTCGCCAAATTTAATTCCCTCCAAAATTTCCCGTTATACGGTACCTTAAGGAGACAGTTATTAGCATGCACTTATTTTAGCAATTTTCACATACTGTCGTTTCATGATAAAAACTATAATAATTTAATCAGAAATTAAAGTTAACACGGACTTAAAATAGCAATTTTTTAATCACTAAAATTTGCTAAATTAAATACCCGCAAACAATTGTCTCCTAAAGGTATACACTCAGATGTTAGTTAATTAGAAGCCTTGGTTTTTAATCAACTAACATCCTCATATATATCCAGTAACCCTCAACATGTAATATCTAGTACTATTGGCACATGGGCCAGAGCCATAACTTGGCTCAGGACTAACATCATAGTAGCATGTTTTCTTGTTTTTTTCTCTTTTGCACTAAAAAATATTAAATTGAACTAAATTTAGTTACATTAATTATTCCACAGGTGCCTAGTTAGCTGTCATTGGTTTGAGAAGTGGACCAAGTTCATTGATATTGCTCTTAAAGCTGGAACTGACGGCTGCAACAAGAGCTCTCATCCTGGGCCTGTCACTAACTTCACTCTTATAAAGTTTATCAACTTTCAAGCACCAAAACTAAAGAAAGACTTGTCAGAAAGCTTAGACTACAAGTTGATCCCAGAGATTGGCTGGGACCTCCTAATACAATGGTATGGGATAAGTGAAAAGTCAATGAGACTATCAAGGTATACTTGTACACTGATTGTGTAGTATATTGTTATGTATCGTAGAAAAGTTATAAAGGTTCAAAAACATGCAATTGGAAAGCTTATGATTGAAGTATATCCAGTTACAGTACTGGTTCAACTCATTTTTCCTGAGAGTCCGGATGTTGATAGAATTCATTATGAAGTCAGCAGAGATGATACAGTTGGTAAGTAAAGTGTGCATTGCATTGAAATTTTGTGTTGATCAAAATTGAGTTTTTGTAAATTTTTTAAGTTGCTCCAAAATCAGGTCAAAATCCTTGTACTACAAGAACATAAAAAATTTAAAAAAACAATGTTAAGTAGGATTCCGAACGACCAATGAAAATACGAAATGGAAATCCTACTCGTGACGCAAATTCTACTCTACATTGTACTTTAAATGTTATTATGTAAGAATTACGGATCACCTTGCAATGTAGAGTAGAATTTGCGTCACGAGTAGGATTTTCATTTCGTATTTTCGTTAGTCGTTTGGAATCCTACTTAACTTTGTTTTTTAAATTTTTTATGTTCTTGTTTGTGTTGATTTTTTAATAATATTTATAATATTTCTTTAGTTGCCATTGTGATGCTTGTTGATTTTACACAAACAATAATTTTCTTTATTATTATTATTATTGTTATGACTTTACATCATTTATGAGAGACAGCATTGAATAGACATGCTGAAGGAGTATCAACTATATTGATGACAAGTGAAATTAATACTAGTCTTGACACAAGTCTTTGTTCAAGAAGCTGTGAGCTGAGAGTGTCTATCTTCCCTGCAATGTTGCAGCTATTCCTGTTCTTCCAGGCTGTTGTCATTCATATTATCATAACATTAATTGTTTGTTTTTTAAATAAAATGAAATAACACACTTGATAAAACAGTAACATGTAAGATTAATACCTTCTTTTAGCTGGAAACCTCCACTAAAGTATTGCAGTAGTTGATTCCAAGCATAGCTTGGTAAAAAAATTAATTGCTTCTTCCAGAGCTGCAGATCTGAGCATGCGCGGCCACACCCAAATTTTAGAGCACATGCTTCTTTAATTAACAAAATGGCGGAATGCAGCTAAGATGGCTCTATCCAGCAGTCAGAGTATCACTTTTTCTTTACCTGAAGAATGATCTGATGGGACATGGACCTGCGCATAGACTATTGGAGTAGATTGGTGTAAGAATTATTCTTGTAGCACCAACTGATACTGAGATACACACCGACAACTGGATTGACAGGACTAACTTTCTTGATGATGATGAAGATGAAAAAAAGTGGCTGAACAAAACGGCCGGTTCGCCGATTTTTGGCTTTTCTCTTAGACAAGGTCTAGAGCCACGCTATGGGTACCAATGGAGTCCTCTGGTCAAGATAAGGTCCTCTATAAAGTCTGGTAAGCATAGGAGCTCGTTTTCCCGGTATATCAAGGCTGCAAAAGTCGTGGCAGCCATCATTTTGTTTGGGGGTGAATCCTACTTAGTAACGCTACCGCGTTACTAATAGTACAGTGATTTTGGCCAAACTTTGCAAAAAATGAAAAGAAGAGAATTTTTATTTTTATAATTTTTCCTGTTACGTACACATGTTTTTATGTTGCGTAGAAAGTTTGAGCTGATTCCGATCAAATTTGGATTTTTTACGAATTTTTAAAGTTGCTCCGAAATTGGGTCAAAATCCCTGTACTATAGTACAGTGATTTTGGCCAAATTTTTCCAAAAATGAAAAGGAGAGAATTTTTTGTTTTTATAATTTTTCCTGATACATATACATGTTTTTATGTTGCATAGAAAGTTTGAGCTGATTCCGATCAAATTTGGATTTTTTACGAATTTTTAAAGTTGCTCCGAAATTGGGTCAAAATCCCTGTACTATAGTACAGTGATTTTGGCCAAATTTTGCCAAAAATGAAAAGGAGAGAATTTTTTGTTTTTATAATTTTTCCTGATACATATACATGTTTTTATGTTGCGTAGAAAGTTTGAGCTGATTCCGATCAAATTTGGATTTTTTACGAATTTTTAAAGCTCCTCCAAAATCGGGCCAATACTACCAATACACATACTTATGCATGAGAAATTGAGCATTGTTATCTTAACATTATCATGCATATCCTAAATGTTATTTCAATTCAATCATTTTCTTTGTCTAGCATTTGTGATAGAGAAGCTAAGGGAACTGCTTCAAGTATCTGCTGTGAATGAGACACATCTTTGGCTCCAACATTTAGACAAGAAAGTATTACTTCAAGAAACTGACACAATGGGAGACAATAGATCACTTTCCTCTGTTGAAGACAATGACGTAAGCCTTTTTAAGCACATTTGTATAAAAGCTATTGTTAATTTTTTAATAGACACTTATTCTTGAAGTTAAGAAAGGGGACAAATGGACAATTTAAGTTTTTAATAAACTGCTTTATTTCTCTCACTTTCTCTACTGAGTGATTCTGGGTGTTTTATTTTCTGTATATAAACTTTTGATTGCCTTATAAATATCAATTGCTATTATGAATTGGTTTGTTAATGATATCCACCACTCTATGTGTTTACTTGTATTTGCTCTTAATAAGGAGATGTATACTTACTCTGACCTTTATCCTAAGATTATTACTAATTTTATACAGGAGGATTATTTACTACATGTATTCATGTAGAATCTTTATTATAGTAATCCTGTTTTCATCAATTTTGTGTAATGAAAATTTACATTGTTCTGTGAACCATTAAGAATGAAAGAATCCACTGGTATATAACTTTAAAATATTTAGTGGAATAGTACTGTGCTTTTTGAACTAAGAAGTAGATCTGCATGTACATGTACAGGATATGATATCTTACAGTCTGGCAACTGTTCGATGGTAGATGATGATGACTTTAATACCGAATTATTGCAACTACGTAATTCAAGCAATGCACATATCAACATTACTGGTCTTAATGATATTTCTTACTTTATTTTTGGTGTACGTGCATACACTGTTAATGTCATTAATACACTGTTAAACATCACATTTACCATACATGTACACACACAGAGTCATCATCTGGTTATCAATGTCAGGCTGTGTACAAATATACCAATCTATGTTTACACGAGAATCTTGCCACCTGATACTTTTGGAGTAGTATTATGCATTCTTTGCCAATGCCCTTATAAGGAGACTTGTGCCCTTTTTGTTGTGTGTTCTGTTACTTTTATCAAGAGCAAGGAACATTCATTTCTGTTTCAAGCACTAACATTTATTATTGTTTTACAAGATGATTGATGTCTCTCAATGGAGAGCAAGTATTGGACTGTGGAACTACTGTCAAGCTGCCTCCAGTAGACCAGCTAATGGCCGCCACTCTCACTCATTCAAAGCTGCAGTAGACAGCAAGTCAGGCAGTACTACATCAGCAGAAAAGACATCTAAACTGCCAGCAGCTCTGTCTCTTATTCTTTTACTCCTCCTCCTCTTTCACTTTCTCTCTTTATTAAGATACATCTTGATGATTCCTCCAACAGGTAAACAACAATTGCAACTTTATACTTGTATATTTACTGGTATTTTATTATTAGGTAACTGCTACCAAGTACAATGTACTACTGGTGTTACTGTTACTGATACGAATTACCTCCAGTCAGTAGTCTTACCTGGAGGCAGCAGTTCTAACCTGATTTACAATGATCTCTATTTGATTGTTTGTCTACGTATGCTCCTCCTCCTTTTATCAGGAGATGTTGAACTCAATCCTGGTCCTATGATTGATGATCAACCTGATATTTCATTATTAATTCAATGGCTTGAACCACTTGTTGAGTGGAAACCATTTAGTGTATGCTTAGTTGGAATGAAAGAGTATGATGTTTTAAAAATTGAACAAGAGCATTTAAAAATTGAAGACAGAAAGTTAGCATTATATTTTAAATGGTTGTCCCTCAATCCTAAAGCAACATGGAGAAATGTCATTGATGCACTGACTATTATAAAAGAAAATAAATTAGCAAACGAAATTAAAGAGGCTCTTTCTAAAGGTAAATAAATCACACAATAGTCATTATTGCATGCACTACTTCAGATGATATTAGTCAACCTTTGGAAATAACTGAGCCAATAGCAGAAGAGGAGAACAAATTCACTTATAGTAATTATACAAAAATAGCAATCAAAAATGATGATTCTACATCAGGTAAACACACTTATACTACACTTAATAATTGATACCCTACTGCAGGTAAACCTATGATTAATGATCAACCATCTTGTCTCTTATTTGCAAAATGTCTTAAACCACTTGTTGACTGGAAACCATTTGCTCTTTGTCTTCCTGGAATAACACAATCTGATGTCAATATAATTGATAAAAAGAAAAGAAATTCTCACCTTAAAAAAATGGCTTTACATAAGAGATGGCTACAAGCTAATCCTACAGCATCTTGGAGAGATGTCATTAATGCTTTGAAACAATGTAAAGAGAATGAACTAGCTAGAGCTATTGAGCATCAAATGAAATGGTCTACTGAAGGAACTGATAATAATATGGAGATAGCAGTGAGTAGCAAAGACAATACATCAGGGGGTAAGTGCTTTCAATGCATCACCTATTAACTGATAATATATTAGCTACTGTAGGCAATCCGAAGATTATATTACAGAGTCTTTCTGATAAATTAATCTTAGCTTTTAGTGTGAATCTTTTCTGTCTAACCAATGCACTGTATGCTAAAGACCTAATACCACAACAAACTAAAGAGGAGATGCATGTATTAGGAGTAACTGATAATGAGAAATCTAGTAAACTTGTAAATGTCATTGAACAACAGTTGGAAGCATCTCTTAATCCAGAGCAATATCTTATTGATGTATGTCATGTGTTAATAAACCAACAGCATCATACACTAACAGATATTGCTACCTCTATATTACACCAGTTAGGTGAGTGTGTGTGTGTACATTATCAGTGATCAATATAGTCATTAAATCATCACTAGTTGATGACATAAACAATACAAAATTACTTACAATAATGCATAGATCTACATAGTTTTATGTACATGTATCTCTAACAATAGGTCAATGTGATATGACTCAACCCATTACTTCAATACCTGATGCTGTTCAAAAGTATGCTGACAGTATAAGACAATACCACAAACATCAACGTATTGTTGCTGCAGACTGGCCACCAAGAATTGGAAAAGATTTCTTTGGAAAATTATCTTTAGTAGAAAATCAAGACTCAAGTACACAAGCAGAATCAGCTTGGCATCTTCTAAGAGGAGAAGTTGACAAAATGCTTGAGCTAACTGAAAATAAAACTATATGGGTTGAAGATGTCCTCCAACCCACAGATAGTTCTCTGTCTCTCAGAGTAGTAATAGACGGTCCTCCTGGTATTGGCAAAACAACACTTTGTCGTAAGCTCTTGAATATGTGGTCTAATGGAACACTTGTACACCAACAGTATGACTTGGTACTTTACTGTCCTTTAAGGAATAGCAAGATAGCTACAGCTACTACACTAGCTGACCTGTTTGAGTATAGACGTTATGAAGTTCCCATGGTAGCTGAATGGTTTGAGAAGAGGAATGGAGAAGGATTACTGATAATCTTTGATGGTTGGGATGAACTAAGTGAACAGCTCAGACAGTCTTCATTAGCTGCTAGTATCATTTGTAGAAAGCTGTTAGATGAATGTTCAGTAATTGTTACCTCTCGTAGCTATGCCTCCTCATCACTTTTGAAAATTGATATTCTCAGTAGACATGTTCAAGTCATTGGGTTTTCTAAGGAAGAAATATCAACAGTAATTATACAAACACTTCAAAAAGATACAAAACTAGCACAAAAACTCATTGATGAAAACACTGATCAAGTACTATACAAATCTGAAAAATTAAAATACAAATTGCACTTCACAACAAGTCAGAGCAGTAAAGACTCACAACTAGCAGTGAAACTCATTAATGATCTTGAAGTACGACGTGACGTTCAATCATTGTGTTATGTACCACTAGTCTGTTCCATGGTCATCTTAGTTTATCGTAAGGAAGGAGGACACTTACCAACAACACTCACTCAACTGTATGAGATTTTTACTTTACAAACTATCAGAAGACATGTTGAAATAAAACCAAGACATGACATTAACCCAGGCACTTTAGGTAGTCTTTCTTCATTACCATCACAATTAGCTAAACCTTTACAAGAGATGTGTCAAGTAGCATATACTAACCTGGCTAATACAAGAATGACATTCTCTTCACATCAACTACAATCGCTGAGTGAGGCAGTCAAGGAAGACTATCTTGGATTGATGACAACATTCACAGATTATGATGAGGAGAAGTATCAGTTCCTTCACTTGAGTATACAGGAATTTTTAGCTGCATGGTGGATAGCTAAGCATGAGAAGACAGAGGAAGTGTTTAAGGATCACTTTGATGATGATCATTTTCGAATGTGTCTGAGGTTTGTGGCAGGTCTAACTCACCTTGAACATGAGAGCTATCAACAGTATTTCAATGAAAAACAACTTGACTTACAGTGTAAAAGAAAACCACTGTTTGTAGCTGATCCTCATCTCTCTTACTTTTATCAGTGGCCTGAGATACGGTATAGTCATATTGTTAAGACTGATGATTTTGACAATATTCCCATTCTTCTTCATCAACTCCTGTATGAATCACAAAACACAACACTATGTAGAGTATTGGCAAAATCTATCAACAATCACTCACTATGTCTTGATGGAAATAGAGTATCATTATCATTGTTTGACTGGTTGTGTCTCAGTAACTTTATAAACAATTCCAACACAACATGGAATCATTTAGACCTTGGGACTGTACATGATGAACCTCACCAGGAACTATCAGTCTTTACTGCTGGACTATCTGATAACTCACTACAGACCCAGTGTAAGAGACTGGAGATATGGTTGATGGCACCTACTAATAAATCAATTAAAAAACTAATACAATCATCACTTATATACAATATCCAAGAGTGCTATTGTAAAATAGGTATAGGCTGTTATATTCCCTGTCTTGTGTTGTTGCAGTTCCTCAATCTTCCTCGATTAAAAATACTGCACTTAACAATAACAAATCCTACTATACCAGCAGCTGACAATGCCGGATGCGAGACTACATGCAATGGCACTGACCTTGAGAATTGCATAGAAATGAATTCAGAACTACAGGAAATGAAGATTAAGTATGAAGGAATGAATGAAATAATCATTATCAGTGTCATCAGAGGTGTGACAAAAAATAAAACAATAACATCATTATCACTACTTATTCACATTAATGCTCTTTCTCCTCCCCCTCTACCTGATGGACTAATAGAGCAGTTACTGAAGGACAACAACACATTACAAGCTCTTCTACTGGATATACCTGACGAACTCCTCCCATCATCACTGAATATAGTAGAAGTGAACACACCACTGACCGCTCTACAGATTGGAAAGAGAAGTAGGAGTAGTACTAGTAAACTCATAACATCATCGCTCCTTCCACATATCAAAGGAATACATTGTCTAATACTACATGATCCATACCCATACC